TTGATGACAGCCATACATACAGTAATTAGAATTTTTATACTAGATCATATACTTTTAGGCATGTTGGGACCTGTCCTGATTTTAGCAGTGTTGTTTCATATTGTCACATAAGAGCACAAATAGCATAGGTTGAAAGTGTAGTTTCTATTCATTAAATTATAGGTTGATAATAATTCAAGAAATAACGCAAGTGGCTTTGAATTTCTTGGTGCTATGAGACAAGATTGAACAGTATTCAAGAGTAGAATAATTGTTTCTGAATGCAACTTTTCTCCAGTTTTAGCTGTGAGTTTTAGTCCAGCACATAAAGGTATTGCATTGATAAAATATCCCTGTGTAGAATTCACTGAGAGCTAAGTGGGCCCTGGCGTGTGGGGATTGGAGATAGCAGCGTGTGCAGGCTGGTACAGCCTATGAGAGTCCTGGAACTCTCTGAAGACAGGCTGACTCAGGAAAAAGACCTTGGAATCATTTAGCTATAGGCTGAGAAATGCCTGTGGGAGAGTTCAGACAATTGTAGATAACACCCAAGAAGTTTCAAGAAGCAGCTTGTAAAAAGAGAGCACCCGCAATTAGACTCTCGGTCACTCTTCTTCCTGTCACCCATTTTAAGCCTCTGCGTAGCTACAAGTTCTCCCTACAGACAGTGCAGCAAAAAGTACAATATTGAGCTTCCAGAGGAACTCTTGTCAAGAGCCATGCTGCCATGCTCCCAGGGAAAACATTAATAAAGAAACATGTACCTCCCCAAATGAGGATGCAGTTGGACAGTTGAAGTGTAATTTGAGGCAGTTAGGATTAATAATTGAGACCCAGATGTCATATTTGAAGATATTGTACTTAACGCTTAAAGCTAGTAACATTCATATAATACAGGGAAAACTCAACTTTCAGTGGAAAATATGACCATCAAAGATGAAATTATATGAAGACTGTGTGTGTGCAAGTCTCTGGGCAACATTTGATTCTAACTGCATCGTCCATGCTCTCCGAGAGTGTGCTGCTAAGAAACTGGGGTCTGGAGATTTAGCTAAATTAACCTACCCATGGTATTTTTTTCCAACCATTCATTTATGCATTAAATCTATATCGGGGACCTGTTACGTGCCAGGCATTTTCTTGCCACTGGAGGAATACAGTATTGAACAAAACAAAAATTTCTTCCCTTAAGAAGCTTAAATTCTAGAGGGAAGAGGAAAAAAAGGAGGGGGGACACAGAGGTACCCAGTGGGGGTGATATGAATGAATGAATGAATGAATGAATGAGTATAAACAAATAACAGTAAACCAGGGGAAGTGGAGTAGAACATGTAATGGTGATGAGATATTACATGAAAGAGAGTAGTGGGAGGTGGCCTCCCTGGAGAAGGCCTCCTTGGCAGGTTGACACTTGAGGGAAGTCCCGAAGTAGGGGAGGTAGTGTGCCGTGCAAATGTCTGTGAAGATACACGTTCTACAGAGAGGGAACAGTAAGGAAAAAGTCCCTGGCATGAGTATGTTCACATCCCCGGGGAGCATCAGAGAGAGAGAGAGAGAGAGAGAGAGAGAGAGCAGTGGGACAAGAAAGGGGAGGTGACCAGTGGAGAGAGTTGTAGCAGATGAAGCATGAGAGGTTACCTGGGGCCAGTTATGGACCTTATAGGCCACTATATGCTCTTTACCCTGAGTGAGAGGGAAACAGCAGAGGAGAGTTGGCATGATGCGATTTTGTTTTATCCATATGACCCTGGCCTTCTGTTTTGAAAACTGTGTGCATCAAGACAAAGGAAGAATCAGCTGGGAAGCTATTGCCATAATCCAGATGGAGCTGATGGCGGCTCCGATGGCCGTAGTGGTGAC